CTTATACCCTTCACTATTCCCTTGACTTATATTCTTCACTATTCCCTGACTTATATCCTTCACTATTCCCTTGACTTATTCACTATTCCCTGACTCATATCCTTCACTATTCCCTGACTCATATCCTTCACTATTCCCTGACTTATATCCTTCACTATTCCCTGACTTATATCCTTCACTATTCCCTTGACTCATATCCTTCACTATCCCTCAACTCATATCCTTCACTATTCCCTCAACTCATATCCTTCACTATCCCCTCGATGGTTTACTTCATTGCAGTCTTTGAAGACAGCGCTTTGTTGCTATGACACAATGTGCTTTTCATTGTCGCGAATGAGGCTCAAAGCACACCGAACAAGGCCATGGATTTTATTTCTAGCTTGAAAGAAGATAGACAAAGAACAAAGCAACCAGAACTAAGAGAACAAAACTAGAGAACAAGGCATTATCTAATCAAAGAAAACAGACGGCGTCATCCATAGAAGCAAAGACCACAAACACAACAACGCAATAAAACAGGCCCGGCTTCCTCCAAGAATACCGGACGACATTCCACAGACTCATCTTCGCAGATCAATCAGGCCCTCACTACTGCAAATGCCAGAACCAGCCCAGCTCGTTCACATACTAGCTCGGAAAACCCCGAGGTCCCCCTGCAAGCACTCCAACTCCATGGTGAATTCCACAATGACAATATCACTGCTCAGGCGCATCAGCGGCCTCTTCAGGCGCCAAAATCCTAGCCTTTACTTCCTCCCAAGAGCTCTGAGACTGCCTGTAGGTCTCGATCACCTCATCGAGCAATGGGTCGGTTCCGGTCCTGCGGGCATCAGCAACCTGACGATGCTGGAGCTTCCAGTGGATATAGTCCGGCTCGATTTTCCTGTCGCGCAGCATAGTCAAGAAAGGGTTATCCTTCCACATGATGAGGTGCGTCACCTCCTTGAATTGAACCATCACTCGCCAAGGATCAGGTGCATCGATAAAGAAATGCTCTACGCGGCCAAACCTCTCGAGCATCTTGTTGCGGATTTCCTCGGGCCACCCGGAACCCGCAGTGGTCTGTTCAGGCTTTTGAAGTTGTATCCAGATCACCCACTTGCTCGTCAAGGGCAGCTGGTCGTCAGCCCACCACCCAACACAAAGGGAAAACGTAGTACATCCAGCAAGGCGAAGCTCCTCCGTGATTTCGACCGCCCACTTGTATTGGTGTGTTTCGGTGTGGTCAGTGGACAGCAGGATTAAGCGCTCGACTGTCATGGGCGCGCGCGGCCCACCAGGGAGGAACTTGAATCGCGTTTCGGGCGGACGCAAAGTAAGATCAGTAGACGCCGGGTCCACGGTGGCAGGTGGCATAGGCGGCCTGTTAGTTTCCTCCTCTGGCTCATCAGGAGCATCATGAGTCCCCCCGGCCAGCATCCGCTCCACTGCGTCATCCCAAGAGCCCTGGTTCCTCCTGGACGCCTCGAGAAGGTCGTCTATCAACCGATTGTTTCGGGTGCGGGGATTTCGCTCCAGCTGCTCACACAAGAGCTTCCAGTGATTAGATGCCAGTAGCTGTTTCTCGCCCTGGAATACCCTAATGAACGGAACGTCCTTGTAGACAATAACCTGCATTCCCTGCTCGGCATGCGTCGACAATGCCCTGATTGCGAGAACTACCTCGGAGCTATCCTGTTCCGGCATAATGTAATTAGCTAGAGTGGGCGTCGGGTTCAGGCCGAGGCCTCGAATCACGTTGTCGCGGACCTCCTCGATCCATTCCCTACCACTTGCAGTGCTTTGTTCAGGCTTTGCAAACTGTACCCACATTCCCCATGTGTTTGCCTGACGTCCAGCAGTTTCGGGCCAAAGGCCAATACCAATGGAAAAGCTTGTACATCCAGCTTGGCGAAGATGGTCTCCATATCCAGCAGCATGCTCATATACCCGCGCTTGGGTGAGAAGTCGGTTTACGCGGACCCAGCGTAGAGCCGTGTTGGGCGCGCCTGGTCCGCCTGGGAGAAACATGGTGGCCTCTGGGGTGATTTGCTTGGTGGTGGGTAGATGGAATCGTTTCAATATGAAAGTTGGCAATGGTAGTCTCTCGGGTGATTCACTGGGTGGTGGATAGATGGAATCGTTTCAATATGGAAAAGCTCGTGTTCAAGCCTTGATGGGATATCAAGATGCTGTTGATGGCAATTCCAAGCACCGGGATTAACCCTGCTTTTATGGCCTTGTGGGCTATATTAGCTGATATTGATGATAACCACAGTTTACCATGCCAGGCTGGACCTTTCCCTCAGCCGAAACGTGGTTTCTTTTGTGTGTAGGTGGTGATCACGCTGGCCTTTCATCCCATGATGGTATTTGGCCGTCATCTGATGTTTCGCATAGTCAGAACCACAGTCCTCGAGTCAATCGAGATCTATACTCCTGTTTCAAAAGAGACTTCCAAGTCAAAGAAATGATATGATTAGAATAGGCTGACAATAGGTTCCAGACTTTAAGAAAATACTCACAGTATCCCGAGGGCTTGGAGTACCAGTGAGTACAAAAGTTCAGAATAGACCGACAATAGGTTCCAGACTTTGAGACAATATTCACAATATTTCAAGGGCTTGGAGTAGACAAAAGTACTAATAAGTACCAGTAAGTACGAAATCTGGAATTGGATGACAATAGGTTCCAGACTTTAGCGCATTATTCGATATGGATATTTCAAGGGCTCAACGTAGGCAAAGGTACTAGTAAGTACCAGTAAGTAGAAAACACAAGAAAAGTACAAAGTAGTAAAAATAGTAAAGTACGAGAAGTATAGAAAGTACAAAGAAGTGCATAGAAGTACCAAGGACTAAAACTTTATAAAAAGTACAAAAGAGTATTAGAAGTACAAAGAAGTGGAAAGAAGTACAAAGAAATAAAGCCATAACAGTCCAGAATAGAGACAGAGAGTGGAGATCTAGATTATGCAATCCTTGCTGTGTGAGATTCATTCATACTGGGGTAATTGGATGGAAGGTGCTAGGTGATCTTTTTATGGGACGTCTTAATATCAATGTGTACTTCGAACAGAATCAGGGTTATCTGTATCACTCTGCTCATCAGCAGTCAGTGTACCACTAGTTGTAGGCCAAGAGCATGTCATGAGTGCAGCGCGGGAGCTCGGTGAGGAATAGAAGGAAGGGTTATGATTAGATGTATTTATTTGAGCGTGCTTCGCAGCAAGAGATCTCAAGTGGGAAACGTAATATAGATTCGCAGAAAACAAAGGACATGCATTTCCCCCCCTTAGTTACAGTAGAAGCAACAGTGTGCAGCTCAAAGAGCTGAACAACATCTACCAACCAGACGGATAAAAACATAAACCATAAGCACACCGAACACAAAGACTCATGAAACTTAAGCAGAATAAGCTTAACTTATCACAATGTACTTGCTGCAGGTTTACCCTCGAGCTTACGCTAAGCCAACAGGAACAAGCACTTCATCATAGTAGAACCAAGCCTCGAACATATCAAAGTTTTTCAGAGCCACCAGGATCTTCTGCATCTCCGGGACAAATTGGCTCCTTTCTAACCACCCTTCTGCGCCCGCCAGACGAAGACGATCCGTGCCGAGTCAAGCACCCTTGGCTTTTACCAATACATCGTCAATTCTCAGCGGCCTTTTTAGACTGTCAATTCATTACTGGTGCCCTAGGATTTGGCCTAGTTGAGAGCCTCGTCGAAATCCCCTAGTAGCCCTACTAGACCCAGAGGAAGGCTATGTACTCTTGCCTTTGATGGGAATCCTGAAGAGTTCGGGGTTCAACTCAGAATTACACCGGCGACGCTGATATTGATGTCCCTACAAAGGAATTGTGGATGTTGAACCACCAGTTACTAGGAACTAATCGTATAGGGCACAAAGTGTGAGTGGAATAGTAGAACAACTGCTACAGATTATTACTAGACTTCAGCTTGGTGATAGAGATCAGTAATAAATCAAAAAAAAATCAATGAATTTGGCAGAAAAGAGTGTATCAAGTCGGAAGATGCAAAATACATAAACAGTGGATGTCCTCAAATCCTCACCGTGACAAGCACACTTAAAAAATCTCCTCAACTCGGGGCAGGAGTTCTTCAAATCGGGGCTTCATCTCCGCCCACGTCAACTGGCGCTCCCTCATAAATTCTACCATTCGAGCAGTCAAAGCCTTATCAAGAGCATCTGGCTCCCCGCGGAGGCCCTTGTTAAGCATATCCCACAGCAAAGCCCAGGAGGCCTCATCACCGTGCATTCGGACATGCTTGGAGATCAGAAAAGGAACATCCTTGTAGAAGATCAGATGGGTGTATTTCCTCATGAGGGGCAATGGGCCAAGCACGAAACGTATGTTGGTCTTCTCAAAAAACCCCTCCGCCGGAATCTGGCCGGAAGCAAACTCGCTGTCCTTCCGTGGCTTCGCCTTTAGCTCGGCGAGCCAGTTCTCGCCATACCCTTCTTCCGGCTTCGTGAGTTGCATGAAAATAGCCCACCCGGGCCTGTGTTCTAGATGGATGTATCCAACGCGGATCGCGAAGGTCTTGCAGCCGGCGTTGCGGAACCATTCGATGTACTCAGACGCAACTTTGAGGGCCGTTTGTTCTTCATCAACACCCGAGTGGTAGATGTATAGAAGGCGCGACTGTTTGCTGGTCTCTTCGGGTACGTATTGGTGTTCCAAATTGGGGTATCGACGACGCAATTCGCCGTTGGACAACGACATCTTGTTGAGTGGTATGGAAATGGTGACAAATCGAATAAATGCGGGGGTTGAACTCGATAGGCACAGAAAAGCTTCAATTGAGTGATGGCTCAAGAGTCAGGATGTTGCTTTTGATGGTCTTCAAACTGCTGGAATAGACCAGACTTATATAACCGAGCTGGAACACTTCAAGAATGCTTGAGAATCAGGGCACGCTTTGGTGTTGAAAGGACTTGGTATTTGAACGATGAAAGAATCTCCTCTTCGACAATTGTCGCTTTGAGTTCCAGGAAGAATGTCATTTGGCTACAACGCCAGCCTTTCAAGGTTTCCACAATAGGTCGGGCATTGTTGCCTTAATTTCCAAGACGAGATAGCCAATAAGCCAGCATAGCCCGGTAGATACAATGGAGACCCAAATATATATGAGAGGATTTGTGCGCTAGATCACAAAGACTACATATGCAACAATGACAAACCAGGGCCAGTCGTCCTCGATATCAAGACATCGAGACAAGGACCGCAAGGGGGAAAAGTTCTGATTTGAAACATGCTGCAAAGAAGTACTTCTACTACAAAGAAGCATACACAAAGAATCGGTTTAAGTGTCAAGACCATTGGTTGGTGGCCATTGCAAGCGTCCACGTTGGGGGCATGGGATCGTCACTTCGAGGTCTAGAGCGATCTCGTGAAAGAATGAGTCGCTCTAAAGACGTACAAAGTAGCCTTTCTTGGGAAAATCTCATATTGGTGCGCTTTTGTTCTTCCTTAAGGAACACCGCTACGGGGCACCAAGGGCATCGCATAAGCAATACCAGTGCCTAGATATCCACTAACAACAATTCCTTCCACGATAGGAATTGGGCAATACGAGCTACGTTGATGACACTACAAGAACAACAGAAGTAAGCGCTAGAAATGTAGCATCTGCAATGAAGAAATAATAAATTGATCACCACTATGAACGCGTACAAGAGTAGGTAAAGAAAGTACCCCAAGATAACTCAACCAGTCCTTAGTACCATACCCAATCAGTAAATCTCACCGAGAACCCGGACCCTCGCCAGCCTCGTCTCGCACCCCAGCATTCCATGCGTAGCCCACACCTCCCAGCCGGGAATGACCTGCTGGCACTGCGACAAGCCCTCAACCCACTGCGCGGAGATGGTGTCAGGGACAACATGATCCTCAAAGAGCGCGTAGAGACCCGCTAGAGCCCTGAGGTCCGGAGTCTGCTTGTGGAAGCCGGAGAGGACAATGCAAAGCCGCCATTCGTCGCTCGATGCGAGGTGCCCGGCTCGGACGTCGTAGGTTGCGAAGCCTGAGCTGTCTAGATGGGCAGCGAAGTCGGTGCAGACCTGGCGGGTGGTTTTCGCCGTGTGGACTGGCTCGGCGTTGAAGGTGCCTGTCAGGATGTAGGTGGTCATTTTGGTGTGTCGTGGATTATGGAAATACCAAGATAAAAGGCTTGGGTTGTGGTTAGGATCTAGGGAAGTGGTTTGAGCGAGGGATTGTTCGCTTTTATATACGACGCTTGATAGATTTAACTGGCCTCAAGATAAAGAAGCCTTCTGAAGAATGACCTTTGTTGATGCTGGTTTTGCCAATTGCGATGGCAAAGAGGAAAAGGGTTATTGAAAGTGCAGTAGGTCATTGTCTCAAGCCATGTCTCTCCTCCATCATACCAGGTAAAGCGATATCCGTACAATGGGATCCAAGTGTCCCGGTTCTCTCGGATCGTCTGCACTATCCAACTTCCTTGCACAAAGGCTATTCAGGCTGAAGAAAACACTGTCATGCCTATATTCCGTCTTTGACTAGTCCAGCAAGAGAAGCGATTGGGACTAAGCGTGGGCCTATCGACTTGAGACACTAAAGGACTGACTATCGCGGTGACAAGGCGGATAGTACGATGCGTAGGAACTTAATATTGCATGAAGACACGCCAATAACAGAGAAGTCGGCTTGGCTCTCGGAGTGCCTTCCATCAGGAATACTGCTTTTATATCTGTGCTGGCCCCATCAGCAGGTGGCATCGAGATCGTCCTGTATACATGCCCAGCGACAATGAGGGCGGAGATACTAAAGACTGATACTAAGTCGAGAGTATCAGTAGTGAATAGACGGTCACTCGAAGCATCTAGCATTTAATAAGGTCAGCCTCCAAATGAGCAGAGAAAGCAAATCTGCAGGCTAACCATTCCCTGCCCTAAGTCGCCAAGTTCAGGCATGAATCTCTGCCTCAGGCTATATTGCGTCAGGCCACTGTTGCCTCAGGCACTAGGCTCATCTCGGCTAAGCAGCACTAACCCAACCCAGCTAGCGCCATCCACAAGCCCGGCTATAAAAAGCGCCGCCCGCCAGACAGCGCCCTTCCTTCTTTTCTTTCCTCAGAATAGAATAGTGTGGTACTATACCCCAGCGACGACTGTCTGCATGCCAGAGTGTCGGCTGCTGTATGCCTCTTAGTACCAAGATCAACGGGTGTCTATCGAGCGCGCCGGCGCCCCCATGGCCTGAATCTGAAGGGCTGCACGCGCCGGTGCCACGGTATCCTCCTACAACCTACTCCAGCTACTTCAATCGTGAGAAACAACAATGAACTCTTCAGTCTACCTCTATACCAGCCTCTACTCTATATGTATGTATGTATATGTGTATGTGTGTGTATGTCAACAGAACAGAACAGAACAGAGCAGACCTCAGTACCCAAACGCCCCCTGCACCTGCAGCGCATACCGCTCCTGCAGGTGCTCGTGCTCCAGCCCGTCCCGGAAGTCATACCGCATCCCCATGCCATCCGGGATCGTCACCAGCTCCGACGCGTCCGGCGAGTTGGCGTAGAACGACAGCGCCGGCGACGCCTGGTACGCCGGCATGTAGCCGCATGCCGGGTCGGCCAGGCCGAGCGTGTGCATGTCGAAGGTTAGGGCTGGGGCTTCGGGCGTTGCGGGGAGGTACTCGGTTGCGGAGAGCTGCGGGGTGGAGGAGAGCGAGCCGTAGGTGTAGGGCGTTGAGGTTGAGGCGTAGCTGGTTAGGGGTGGGGTTGAGGCTATTGCTGATGCCGATGTTGATGCTGATGCTGATGCTGATGTTGAGGAGGAGGACGGGGGGCGGCGGGAGCTGGAGGGTTTGCTTGTTGGGGGGGAGACAGCGTCGCAGCAGGGCTGGAGGTAGCCCGGGGTGAGGGTGAGGTTCTTGCGGGACAGGATGGTGAATCTGGCGTTGGTCAGCGGTTTCTCACGTCTACCTAGGATAGGTACAGGCCATACTGGTTCTTGATATTGTTCGCAGACCTCGTCGGGAAGTGGCAGCGCTGGATCTCCTTCCAGCTGCTACCGTGGGAGTTGACGGCTGCGAGGAGCAGCATGTTCTAGCTCTCGTCAGTTCTCTCTAGGATATCCTCTCGACGACTCAACGCATACCTCCTCGTCCGTCCACGGACTCCGCTCCAGCTCCGGATTCAGACAGTGATGCCATCGCTTCGAGCACTCTGGCGCTTGACATCAGCAAGGCTTCAAACCGATGCTTGCATTGCAGGGCTACATACGATCCGCATTCCGCGTCTCCATCTTCTGCGCTATCGCCGCCCAGCGATACTGGTACCGCTCGACGAGCTGGAACAGCCGCTCGTCTTCCTCCTGCGTCCAAGAGCCCTGCATCCATGCGCGTTAGACTGTTTCTCAGGCTTAGCTTAGGCGTAGGTGTAGGCGTACCTTGCGCAGACCGCCGGTGAACCGATTGTAGAACCGCTTGCGGCAGTCCTTGTTCGTGCGGCCGGGGATATGCCGCGCGATCTCGTTCCAGTTGATCTTCTGGCATTTGCCTGTGGGTGCTGGGCGTATCCTGTTAGCAGGTACAGAAATTGACGAGTGTAAGAAAGCATACCCCTCTCCTGCACCTGGTACAGATCCCACAGCAGGGCGTCTTCGGCGGTTGTCCAGCGGCGACGAGGCTCCGTCATGATGGCGAGATCTTATTCAATATAATATGGTAAGGTAGGGTATGATAGGACTTGTCGTAAGAGAGCCTGTTTCCCTCGGTATCCAGCGTATTCGATATCGATATGGAGGAGAGTATGAAGTAAGGTAAGGCAAGGCAGGTCAGGTCCGGCGCCAGAATCTCGGGACAGATGCCCCCTTTAAATGAGATCCGATCGACTGCGCCCCCAGCCCAGACAGACCAGGATCAATAACATCGGCGGTGGATCACTGGCGGGAATGGGATGGATCATGGATGGAGGGGCGGATCCTTCCAGCCCCAAGCCCAAGCCCAAGTCCAACAGAACTCAGAAGCCAGCCCATCATGGCGTCTCCCAATCCAGCTCGGCGCCCGCGACGCCGACTCCGACCTGACCTGGCATGACATCCAAGACAGGGGGCGCTTACGACAGCCGGGTTGAGCTTAGATGGGATGGCTTATCTCACCAGACACGAGCTCCAGCACGTATGGCTGATTCTGTTTCGCGAGCACAGAAATAGACCCCGACCCCGAGCCCGACCCGATACGGCCATCTCGCATTCCCCATCTGCTCTGCGTCTGCGTCTGCGTCTGGCTCGCATCTGGCTCTCCGGTACGCCTACTGATAATACCCTCGACCGCACCAATAACAGCCAAGCTCGGCTGGCTCTGACGGCCTTGATTGCCAGACAGCGGCAGGGCAAGGCAGGGCAGGCATGCACTACGGACGCATGCAGCTCTGCTCGTGCTCGTGCTGCAGGTCAATCGCATTATTCAGTGGTAGTACGACTATTACGGCCTCAATCAGCCGCAACAGCCGAGCCGAGTGCGAGACGCAGGCAGCGCTGCGCGCACCTCACGTTAGCCGGCGGAGCATAAGACTCGATTGGGTGGCCGGACGCTGTGTGACGGGCTGCTGCGTTCTTGGGTACGTGCTCCGAATCCGATTGGCCGCAGACCCTGCAGAAGGGAGCCGTCTCATTTCGGCTGATTTGGTCAATGGCATTCGGGTCTTGTGCGTGCGCGTGAGAAACGTGGGAACGGGGGTGGGAAAGGGAATGGGAATGGGCCGGACCAGCGCAGGACCGGGGGCGGGGAATGCGAGGGGGGAAAGGGGGAGGGGGGGAACGTGGCAGTGGCAGTGGAGAGGTTCTGACTTCTTGCATCCCTGCATTGCGAATCTGACTGCTAGCCCAGGCAGTGGGCTGGATGATGGATTTAGTCCATGTTGGCTGGATGGATGGTTGGTTGGCTTCAAGGGCGCAATCACGATTACATATCCATGCAAGGGATGCCCAGGGGGTCGAGAACGCGAGGAGGCTGCATCGCGCGCGGATTGTTTCTCCGATCCTGCCCTCCATGATTGATCATGGTAGTCTACTATGGGAGATAGTCGAGCCCCTGTGGGACAGTGGACTCAATGGCAGGGAGGCAGATTCGCCACGAGGACATGGCCGGGGCTCGACTGGTTTGTCTCACCAGGCCAACTTTCGAGTGCGATCAGGGCCGCCCGACTGGAGGGTAAAAATAACAGCCTGCAACGTTGTGCAACGGCGCAACGTGTTCCTTCAGGTCAGCTCGTTTCAGCGCCTCGTCAGGATTTCGTCAGGTCGGTCGGGGTCGCACAGGGCGTTGCACAATCCAAGCTGACTGTAAATCAGCCGGCTCGCGTGCGGTTTTGACTGGCCGTGGCTTGCTCCCTTGACGTCGCGATGGAGTCATAATTAGTTGTCTGGCTGGTAGAAGTGCGGTCTTCGTACAGTTAGGGTATACGATCTGAGTCCGTTACGGGAATGGGATACCAACCCGACCTGATGTACGAAGAACATGCAATTTCCTCGGACAGTATGGCTGCGACGACAATGCATGAATCCCTTGGCTGCATCCATCCAGACAGCCATCGACTCGTCTCAAGTTCTCAACCGTTCCTGGTGGGCACCTCGTATCGTCGATCCACCACCATCGTGTCCAGCACGCCAATCACCGCGCCCTCGCTATCGCGCTTTCTCTGCAGAACGGCAGACGAATCCTTCGCGCCGGGACGCAGAGGCTCCCGCGATTCCCGCGGTGACCATCTACTGACTAGATACGCTCCTAGTATCGTCAGGCGTGCCTTCTATCTTCACCGCGAGCAAGCAAGCACCAGCACAGCGGTCCAGCCATCAATCACAAAATCCAGCGTGTAGACTAGACTAGAGACCGCCGTCAAGACCGGGAAGCCACGAGGGCTGTGTGACAATTGAGCTGGCCCCGGCCTCGAGCTGAAGCTGGCGGTGGGCAAGTTGAGTTACACGACGGCGCTGGGACTTTTGCGTCCTGACCGTACCCTTATGGCCATGCCCGACCCCTCCAAATCGCCAATGCCCGGCGAGACCGAGACCGAGACAGAACGAGCTCATGGCTCATGCAGAGGCCGTCAGCATTCCACTCCTCATTCCTGACCTCAGCACCAGTCCAAGCCGTGAATCTTATCTCAGGACTCTGAAACGCATTCCCCTCGTCGCGTCTCGGCAGCTGAGCATCAGCCCTGCGGATATTACCCTACGGTACCGTCTGCAGACTGCAGTCTGTACAGCAAACAGCAGTCTGCACAGCACCGGCAGTTCGTCAGCGTCAGCGTCAGCATAGAGCACCAGCAGCTGAGTAATAAGATCGCCCGGAGGATTGGAACCGGACCTCCTGTTCCCTCCAGGCTCAAGCTTAACGGTTTCGGTCTGATGTCATCCCATGCTCGTATGCAGGCGCGGCCAATCGCATCAGCCGGTCGCTGCAGGGCGCCTAAGGCAGGATTCTTCAGCCGGCGATCCTCTCGTAGTGGGCTTACCTTATTTTAGGTAAATCGATACGGATCGTCGTCGGGTTATGGCTTCAACGGGGAACCAGGCATCAGCGGGATGCGCTTGCGATCGCGTTGTCGGAGCTACCCACCGCGGTTGGAAGTACCACACGCTATACTTAGTAGTCGTTCACAGCCTCGTGTTGAAAATAAGGCGCCAAGTTGGGTCTCAGGAGCTCGGTAAAGTTTTCCGGATTGCGAGCACGGGAAGGAGGCGTGCATGGGCTTACCTATCTGGGTATGCAACGGCGCTGATCGGTCGAATGCGTACACTTAGTAATGCTCTACTACTCTAGGATGCGGAACGAGGCCCTGAAATTGAGCACAATGCGCTTCACTAGACATGGACCATGGTGGTGGCATGGCGCTCCCCTTGAACCTGGGCTGCGACCTATACCAGGGCCCGTTGCGAGGGAAACAGCGGTGCGAAAACGACAAAATAGAACGGCTAACATAAACCCAACGTAAACTATGCTAGAAGTAGAACCTCCCACTGCATGCTGCGCAGACCAAGCCAAATCAGGTAACCCGAATCAGGTAACCCGTGGCAGTCACGCCTGGGAGAGTTCGCAGCTCACGCCCTCCGGCAGCCCAGCGCTCTTCAGCTCATCGGGCGAGACACCGTCGGGGACGACGAATCTACGCTCAACATTAGCAAGATCTAGTTTCCTCTCTGACGCTCTTGGGGCGGTGCTGGTGCAGGTGGGACATACGAGGTGCGATGCGTGGGCGGCATGTTCCTCGTCGAGAAGAAGGGGGCGAGGTCGGTGGCGCCTTTGGCAGTGAAGACGTCTCTTGCGCTGAGGCTGTTAGTGACTGGGGAATGGTATCCGACCGTGTGCGAGAGCTGGGCATACATCTGCTCGATCTGGGTCCCGTGTTGCTGGTAGGCCTCGGGGCTGTCGTACTTGATGATGGCGGTCTGGGGGGTCAGCGGCTGAGAATGGTTGCCATGAATGACTTACGTATTTTGGCATGTTGCTGTCTGGAGGGTTGGATTGAAGTTGCAGTGGTGATGGAGATGAGGGAGATGGAGAGGGTGAGGGTGAGGGGTCGCGGGGCAGACCGATGATGTCATTCTATTTATAGCCCTTCCTCTCACACGTATATTGAATAGGTATGCTAGTTATCGTTATCCACATATATTCAGGTTATCTACGCATATTCAGGGTGTTACAGCGCCACCTTTGTGTATCTCTTTCCTATCGCAGTCCCCGTCCAGTACAAGTCGGAGGATTCCTTGTCAACCATGATGGCCAAGTGCACCTCGGCGATGGTCTATTCAAGCATCTGTAAACAGATAGTTTGCGGCGTCGTCAGAACAGCATCTGCGACAGATGGCGAAGTCCAGGTTTCCTGGCGGATAGTCTCTTGCTTGATGTGTTGGGTCAGTGTTGCTTTGGCGTTGTCGAGAACCGGCATTTTGCATTAGATCAAGTAGGGTTAGGGCTATCGCACTGGTGGCAGTCTGGCTTGCAAAGCCAACTTGGACCTGGGGCACCAACTCGGATATATGGTTGTGATAACAATGCTGTCGTCTTCGTAAATGCACCTACAGCGAAGAAAGCACTGGGGTGTGGTACGGTCTATCAACGGGTTTTCTCTATCGAAGGGGCTTAGGCCAGGCCGTTCCAGGTTGGCTCGATAAACAAGAGAGAATCCATAACCAAGTTTGGCACTAGATCGCAAGATAATATCGAAAAGGATCAACTTGGTACTACTAAAAGGAATGAATAGTTACTGTATGTAGAAGTCTCTTTTGTATTACATGGTATACTAAGCTAGATATTCTAGGGATAGATAAAGAATTTTACAGTAGCTATTTAGGCTGGAAAAACCTTTTTTTACTAGAGTTTTAAGCCCGCTGGTGGCCTTAGGCACCCACTTCTAGCACTCCCCCTTATTTATACTAAGAACTTTTTTAAATTAGTAAGCTATAGGCTGCTAGCGTAAAAAAAGTTTTTTTTAAATTAATAAGTTATAGGCTATTAACACCAGGAAAAGGCTTTTTTAGGGGTATAATTTATAAGTAAGTATTAAAAAACTAGTAATTAAAATAATAAAAATAATAATTATTAATAAAAGCTTTAGGTATTAATAAGCTAAAGTAATCCCTAAAAATATAAATAAATAATAATAAAAAATATAAAATAATAAACTTTTAGTAAAAGTTTTAGGCACTAGGTAGCCTAAAATAAATTAAATAATAAATAATAAATTAAGTAATTTATAAATTTAAAAGCTAGCTAGTATATTTACTAGCTTTTTTATAAATTATATAACCCCTTTATAATTAAAAAAATAATAATGTAAGACCAACAAGTCTTAAAAATCTTTACTAATAATAAAAATATTAATAAAAAAATTTAACTAATAAGAATAAAGTATTTTAAACCTTATTAAATAATATTAAAAAAGTTACTTAAAAATTTAAAAAAAAGGCTGGTCTTAAGGCTACTTTTATAAACCTTTAAGTTATACTTAAGTTATTTTTAATTAAAAAATAAATATAAGTTTAAATACTTTACACACGGGTTTTTACTTTAACTTATATTTAAGGCTTATTTTAGCCTTGCCTAACTAGTAGCTAAAACCTTAAATATTAATAACTTAATTAAGTTATATAACCTAATATAATAATAAAGTATACTAAGCCTTAGTAGCCTAAGACTAAAGTTTAGGTTACTTAAAATATTAATTTTAAATTAATAGTAAATTAGCTTTAATAATATTAAATAAAAAAATATTAGCTTTAATGATTTTTTTTAATTAAAGGGTTGTCCGCGACCTATTACTAAATTAAAAAAAAATAATAATAAAATGCTATTATTATTATTAATATTAATACTAAATATAGCTTTATTATTACTATTCTTAATTTTATTAAAGTATTATTTAATATATTAAATTTAATATCTTATACTTATTATTTATAGCGCTTTAAATAAAATATAATATTTATTTATAACTAAAAAAAAGGCGGTATTTTAATAGTACCTAGTATAAAAGTATAAATTATAGCGTAGTTTATAGTTTTATAAATTCCTAAACTTATTAAATTTTTTACTAAATAAAAAATTACTTTTTTATTATTATAATTAAAAAAAAGCCCTTTTAGGCGCTGCCCTAGCTTTTTAGTAAGTAAAAAAAAAGTGCCTTACTATAACTATAATAATTTAAAATACTTTTACTTTTGCCCTTTATACTTTTATTATAGTATAGTTATAAAACCCCTTTAATATAATATTTTTACTAATTTTAAAAGCCCTTAGTATTTTTAATTTTTTTTTTATACTTATTTTTTTTTAGGTTTAAAAACTTTAATTTTAATTAGTTCTTAGGCGGTAATAATAATAGTAATAACTAATATAACTTATATTTAATAAGTACTTTTAAAATATATAATAAGGTTATAGGTAATAATTTAGTAAGTTTTTTTTACTTTAATAACTACTAACTAGTGGTGCTTTACTAGCACTTTACTAAATATATTAATTTTTAGTTTATAATAACTACCTTATTATTTAATTATAACTCCCGTGCCTTTTAACTTACCTTTTTTTATTTTACTTAATATTATACTAGCCTTTACTTTTACTAATATTTTTATTATAAGTTTTATATTATTACCCCCTTAAACTCCTTTTTTTCTGGCCTCTAGCCTTTTTTTTTTATAAGTATACCTTATTTTTAACTAGTTTACTAGTAAAATAACTCTAGTATAAATATTAATTAATAAAAAATAAATTTACTTATAGTATGTAAAGTATATTTAAGCATGTAAAAATAATAAATTAATTAATAATCTTAATAACTATGTTTATCCAGCCCCCGGGCGTAATTACTTCTATTATATTTATAATAAAAGTACTTACCTCCCCTTGCTATTTTATATAAAAAAATATTATTTTTTTATAATAAATAAACCTTAATAACCATAATAAATGCATTTATTATTAAAACATGTTTAGTTATTAAATTAAACTAGTAATAAAGGCTTATAATAAAAAAATAAGCCCTAAGGTTTATATAATAAAAATATTAGCTTTAATTATTTAAAAGCTTGTTTAATTTTTTTAACTTATTATTAAATAGCCCCCGGCTTATTTTAATAATAGCTAGGATAGTTATTAGTTTATTAATATTTTTTTTTAAAAAACAAGCCTGTTATACCTTTTTTTTTAAAAAAATACTAAATATAAAAAAAATGCTTAAAAAGGCCCCTGCTCCTGCTTTTAATACTAAATAATAGTTTTTTATTATAGCCTTTATTATGTAACTAGTTATTATTATTTTTTTTAAAAAAAAAATAAAAGATTTTTTTTTAATACTTTAACTTTAATATAAATATAGTTTTTTATTTTAAATTATAACTTAAAATAAATTTTAATACCAAGCCAGTGGTATTTTAGCTATAGTTTATTAAACTTTAAAACCTTATAAAAAAATAAAAAAGGTAACTACTTTACTTATAGCCTTAGGTATAATTTTAAAATTTTATAAAATAAAAAATCTTGCACCCTTTTTTAAAGCTATAAGTAATTAGTAATAATTAAATAATAGTTTAATAATTTTTTAATAATACTAGTAGTTTATTAAATCTTAAAACCTAGTAAAAAAAAGGTATTTAACTTAGCAAGGTTATTACCTTTTTTTTTTAAATTAATAGCAAACTAGTGTTATTATAACTAGTTTTTTATAATTTATTAAGGCTTTTTATGCATGCTTAAAATTAAAAAGTAGTTTTTATAAATTTTTATAGCTAGGCTAGCCCTTTTACTTAATAAAAAATTTATTATATTTATAAATATATTATTTTTTAAGAATAGCCTTAACTTCCTATTTTTTTTTATTAACTAACTTTATAGTTAGTAATTACTTTTTTTCCCCCTTAGGCTTATCTTACTATATAAATAGTTTTAAAAAAAATATAAAATACTAAATAAATTTTTAATTAATTATATATACTAGTAAGCCAGAGCTAATATACCTACTTTTTAATAATAAATTTAATTTTAAAGAAACTATTATATTTTAGGTTAAGTTTTTTACTTAAATATATTAATTTAATATTTTTTAAAAATACTAAAATATTATTTTTAACCTTAAATTTAATTAAATAATATTTTTAATTATAATAAAGTGCTTACTTTTTTATACCTTATTTATATAATCCTATAAGTTTTTATAAAGCTATTTTAAATAGTATAAATGCTTTTTAATAAAAAAATAAAATATTAATTTTTTTAGGTTTTTAAGCCTAAGAATTACTAGTTTTTACCCATGGCTTATTATAAGTAAAGTATAGCTAGTTAAGTTATTTTTTAAGTTATTATAGGTAAAACATGCTAGTAATAAGTATAATACTTAATTACTTTATTAATAATTATAATATATATATAAATACACCTTAAGTATTTGGTTTTAGCACTTAGTTTAACTATTTAATTAAAAATAATATATTATATTAAGTTATTACTTAATATATAGCGCTTAATAAAAGGCTATTTAATACTTTAAAATAAAAAGTAAACCTTAATTTATTATTATACTTTAAGGTAACCCTGTATTATATATAATCTTTTTAATAAATAAATTAATTAACTTTTTTATAGTAATTTTATTAATAATAAAAAAATATTTTACTTTTTTACTAAATTAATTTATAATTACTAAAATTATATTATAAACATGCTTTTTATACTTTAATAAAAATAAGCTAATAATAAAGTTTATAAAAATATTTTTTTATAATATATTTAGTACTAAAAAAAATATTAAACTTTCCTAAGGTAATTACCTTAAAACCTTAAATTTTTAATATAAAAAATATTTTTTAATATACACACGCGTATTTTTATTAAGCTTTTTTTACTAAAATTTATAGGTAAGTAATTTAATAATTTTTTATAGCTAAAGTAGCCTGTATAAAAATTATTATAATATTATTTTATAATCTTATATTATAACATGGGCACGGGAGGTATATAAATAATACTTTTATAAAAAAAAGTTTTTTTTTTTATATTATTTAGTAATAAAAAAGGCCTGCCTTAAATTAATAAAAATTATATTTTTAAGTTATTATTATAATTAGCTAGTAAAAATATTTTTTTATTAGGCTATAATTAGTTATTATTAAAGGGTATTTATAACTAGTTTAATAATTTTTTTTTATTTACTACCTTTATAATAAATATTTTAAGGCTTAAAAATTTTAGGTACTTATAAGCCTAACCACGTGAAGGAATAGCTAGGTTTTTTAGTATTATTTTAATAATAATTTATTAAGAAAATAAACTTAACTTTTTTTATAAAATAAGGAATATTTTAACTTAATACTTTTTATTTTTTTATTATATAATTTAATTATTATAATAATATATTTACTAAATTATACTTACCTAGCTTATACTTAATTTTAAAGTTATAAATTATAAATAATTTTATTTATTATACCTGCCTTTAATTTAAGACCTTTATTATAAAAAAATAATATAAGTTATTATAATTATATTACACGTGTATAAAATATAAAAAGCCCTTAAGGTAGTAATACCACTTTTTAAAATACTTAATTATTATAAGTAATTTTTAATTATAAACCTTATAGTAAAGCTTTAATTTATATAGCTAATAAAAATAAAAAACTATAAAATATTATTAGTTTTATTTTTTTTACTAGGTAATTTCTCTTGCTTTAGTTATATAATAATTTTAGTAATAATAAACCCTAACGCGTTAGTAATAATAAAAATCTTTTTTTTAAATTAAAGTATTATAGTACTAGCGGCCTGGTAAAGTTTAATTTAATTTTTTTAAACATGTTTTTTATATTAGTAAAAAAAAAGGCTTACTTTTATATCCCTTTACCATCCCTACCAAGAGCTAGGTTATTAAACACGTTACTTTAGTATAATTAAAAATAAAATATTAAAAATAGTTTACAAAGCCTAAAAAAACCTATAATTTATAAAATAATATTAATTTTAACTAATTAATAACAGTCTGGCTGCGGTCTAGATTAATAAATATTTTTTTTTATTTAATAATAAAGCTTAAAATCTTTACCTTTTTTTTATAAAAACTATATTTTAATAATTTTATATATAAATTATGCCTTTTTAATTAATTAAGGACTTTTTAAATATAATACACATGTTTTTTTTTTTATTTTAAAAAAAATAAAAATATTATTAAGGTAAATAATATAAAATTTATTAAGAATCCTGCTTATAATTATATTTATATAGGATTAAAATATAGCTAGTATATTTATTAAGCTAAAGGGCATAATTATATACTTATAGTAATTGTAATAAGTTTAAAATATTATTTTTTATTTATTTTTTTTTAATTTATATTTTATAATATATGTTATATAAATTTAGCTTGGTAAAATATTTTATATTTACTAGCTAATTTATTAGCTTATTAATATATAGTAATAAATAATAATTTTTATTAATTATTATATTTAACCCGCGATAGTTAATATAAAAATATAAAAATTTATTAAATTTTTAAATAAAAAGTACTAGCGCTCCGGCGCTACTTTAAAATAGCTTAATTTATTTTTTTTAAGTATTTTATTAAAATACTTTTTTGATATTTATAACTTATGCTAAAAAAACTATAAATAAAATTTTATAAAGGCTTTTTATCTTTTTTTAATAAAATTTTATGCTTTACTTTACTAGTTAAAAGTTAAGTAGCTTTTTATTTAAAAAAAACTTTATTTTAATAAATATACTAGGGTGGTAAGACCACCTTTACTTTTTTTTTTAGTTTTTTTTAATTAATAAAATATTATAAGTATTAGTTTCTTATATATAGTTTTTATAAACTTTTATAATATTTTAATTTTAATAAAAGGTATATAATTTTACTAGGTTTATTTTATTATAATAAGGTAAAAATTTAAATTTACTTTAATTATTTAAAAATATTCTAGGACTGCTTAATAATCCTTATAAATAAAATTAATAATATAATATACTAACTTAAATATTTTTATAACTTTTTTTAGATTATAAA